CCCAACTCCAGCAGATGCGCCTGAGGTGGAGGGGGTGGATGGGTTCAAAGGAGCCTCCACCTGGTCCAACATAACAGTCCCGAGCTGCTGGGAGTGTCAGGGGTACGGGCAAGCAGTGTACACCAACTTCCAGTATCCCTTCAAGGTAGAGCCTCCTGTGGTACCAGCTGCGATGAACCATGTGGGATCGTACCAGACGACCATGCGAGTACCCAAGGAGTGGGAGGGGAGGAGAATTTTCTTGATCTTCGAGGGGGTGAGCTCGGCATTCTATTGCTGGGTTGGAGGGGAGCCTGTGGGGTACTCGCAGGACTCGCGTCTGCCGGCAGAGTTCGACATCACAGAGCATGTTGCGGGGAAGTATGGGGAGGAGATTTTCCTGAGCGTTAGGGTGATGCGATTCTGCGATGGGAGCTATTTGGAGGACCAGGACATGTGGTGGTTGTCGGGGATCCACAGGGAGGTTTTCTTGTACTCGAAGCCTAAGGATCTTTACATCTCCGACTACACGGTGAGAACAGAGGACGTGAACCCTGTAGAGAAGACTGCAGTGCTGAAGTTGACGGTCGAGCTGGAGGGAGATTTCAGGAAAGAGCACGAGCTCTATGCAACGCTCTATGGCCCATCACAACTGACAGCAGACACGCCGGATGGGATTGTTTGCAAGGATGCGAAGCGAGTGTTTGAAAAGTTGAGAATCCCGATCAAGAAATCAGAAAAGAGGAAGACCGTGGCCTCCTTCGAGCAGGTTGTGAAAGGCTGTAAGCTGTGGAACGCTGAAGACCCTTGGCTGTACACGCTAGTCCTGAGCCTCTACGAGGACGATGTCAGCCTTGACTGCGAATGTGCGCGCGTTGGGTTCAGAGAGATCAAGATCCGCGGTGGGCAGCTGCTCGTCAACGAGATGCCGATTGAGATCCGGGGTGTGAACCGGCACGAGCACGACGACAAGACGGGCAAATACACGAGCCTGTCGTCGATGCTTCTGGACATACAGCTGATGAAACAGCTGAACATGAACGCGGTGCGGACTTGCCACTACCCCAACAGGAACTTATGGTACTCCCTCTGCGACGCCTACGGGGTTTACGTGTGCGATGAAGCGAATCTTGAGACGCACGGGTTGGCAATGAACGGTCCAGAGGAGAGGCTCGCGGAAGATCCCTCGTGGGAGGGTGCTTACCTGGAGAGGATGGTGAGGATGGTAGAGCGAGATAAGAATCACTCGAGCGTGATCATGTGGTCGCTGGGGAACGAAGCAGGGTACGGGAAGAACCATGACTCGATGGCCTCATGGACGCGAACGAGGGACCCGACTCGTCCTCTCCACTACGAGTCGTGTGGCGGAGCCTCGGCGACCGACATTATCTGCCCCATGTATCCCTCCCCTGAGAAGCTGCTTCGGCTGACGAAGCTGGAGGGTCAGAACGCAAGGAACATCGAGATCGGCAAGAAGTGGCCACAGGGGACGGCGAAGGAGCTTCGCCCAGTAATTATGTGCGAGTATGCACATGCTATGGGCAACTCCACTGGGAACCTGGACGAGTACTGGGAGCTGATAAGGAAGGAGCGTGTTCTCCAAGGAGGGTTCATATGGGACTGGGTGGATCAGGGGCTGGTGACAAAAGACGACGAGGGGAGGGAGTACTGGGCATACGGGGGAGACTTCGGGGAGTCTATCCACGATGCTCAGTTCAACATCAACGGGCTGGTATTTCCTGATCGATCCTTTCACCCAGGCTGCTGGGAAGTGAAGAAGTGGTACCAACCCGTGGAGATCAAGGCATCCTTCGACGTGCATGACCTCAACAGGATCATCGTCCATCTCAACTTCCGCAACCGCCACGACTTCCTCTCGCTGGACGAGCTCGGGCTCTGCTGGGACTGGTTCTTCGAGATCGAGGGGGCCCGTGTGTCGGGATGCAGCAAGGTGACGCAGTTCCCGGCCGTCAAAGCTCAGGGAGGACAGTACAAGCAGACGGTGGAGGTGCATATCGAAGACTACCGCCATGGGCAGGAGGCCTTCCTTACCGTGCACATCAAGACAGGGAGGAAAGAGTCCTGGGCTCCTGCAGGGCATGTAGTAGCATGGGAGCAGTTCTCCCTCCCGGTGAGGAGCGAGGTGACGATCGAAGAGCCCAAGGCTGCGGAGCAGTCGAGCTTCCTGGTGCAAGAGCATGCGGAGATGTTTGAAGTGGTGGGGGGAGAGCAGGTGAAGGTCGGTTTCTGCAAGAAGACAGGAGCGTTTGTGAAGCTGGAGGTGAATGGGAAGGTGCTGATCACAAAGGAGGAGAGGATAGGGCTGATGTCCTTCTGGCGCGCACACACGGACAACGACAACGGTGAAGTGACTGTGATTCTCATGATGTGCTCACCCCTTCCCCCCCGTTGCTGATCGCTGTCCTGTCCTGCTGTTAGGCAACTGGTCTCGCTTGTCTCCTTGCCTCTCCACTCCCCTCTCGTCTTCCTTCTTGCTCGCTACTCGTCGTCCCTCACTCTCCTCCTCTCACGCGTGTCTTCAGGGGGTTCGGACACGATCAGATACGGGAGATTCCAGCAGTGGCCGGCGGAGAGCGGGATGCCCGAGGGTTCCTTCCGCATCCATGGAACAACCTTCGACGCCATCCTCTCCTGGATGGATTTCTGGGGGGACATCAGCTTTGGAAAGATGTGGGACAAGTGCGGGCTTAAGGATGTAACGCCACAAGGTGTCGAGCTCGGATTCTTCGATGACGAGGGCAAGATGATACAGCCAGGGACAGTCTGGACGTCCCGAGGGCACGTGACTGCTCGGATCCAGTATAGGATGGAGGCTGAAGGAAAGAGAACCTCGATCCGGTGCGAGACACTCGTTGAGGTGGCGAGGAATGGGGAGCTGGTCATCAAGAACGACTGTTACATCCCTCACTACCTCCCTCCTGTCTCCCGCGTCGGCATGCACCTTGCGCTGCCAGGTGAGCGAGAGGAGAGAGGAAGAGCGGGAAGGGAGGGGGGGAGAGGCAATCGCATGTGACCATTCTTGGCAGAGAAATTTAAGAATGTGATCTACTTCGGGCATGGACCACATGAGACGTACGTGGATAGAAAGGCTGGCTCAGCCATCTCCCGCTACGAAACCCAGGTCGACGACATGTTCGTCCCGTACCTCTTCCCTACAGAGAACGGAGGAAGAGCAGGAGTTCGCTGGATGGCGCTGCATGACGATAACGGCAATGGCCTGGTGAACTCTCCCCCTCCTGCACCTCCGTTGCTCCTTCCCCCTCCTTCCTCGTCTTTCACATCATCATCGTCCTTGAAGTCTGTCACAGTGCGCTATCCGTTCCTTCATTCCCACTGATCCTGATCCCGTGTGCTCATGCGTCTGCTTTGTTGCAGCTCATCTCTCCCGTCATTGCGAGGGAGACTTTTCACTTCTCAGCCCATCGCTTCACTCCCTGGGACATTCACTCGGCTCGCCATCCTCACGAGGTCCCACGGCGCGACAAGATCATTCTCAGCCTCGACTGCCGCCACATGCCTTGTGGAGGAAACGACAGCTGGTCCCGCTGCCACTCTGAGCAGTAAGCCCTTGATCAATCCTCTCCCTTCTCCCTCCACGCTGTCTCTGCTCTCTCAAGGCGGATCGCCCCTCCTCTCTCATTCTCGTTCTTCCCTTCCTCCCCCGAGCTATGTGCTCGTTTCCCTTCCATCTTCCCGCTCCATTTCCTTCTGCTCCTCCTGATCCCGCTGCAGGTATCTCGTCAAGCCAGGCCGGTACTCCTACTCTCTCCGCATGAAGCCCATCACTTCTGTCGCCGAGGCCAAACGTCTGGCCCCGTTCACCTCCCGATCAGACCTCGCCTTCCACTACTCCCCTCCTCCTGTATGGCGCCGAGTGCTCACCTCCATGAAGCACTCCATGTAGGGTTATGAACCCTCCTCGTCTCTGCTGACGGTCTGACCCAGGAGCCTCACCATTGCCAAGACCCCCGTCAGCATAGCGGAGAGGTTCATCTTCTTGCTAGGCATCAAGGTCAGCCTCCTGGACCTCCGCCCTCTCACTCCTTCCCCTTCCTGGTCCGCCTCCCCCCCCTCTGACACCCCTCCAGGTCGCAGGAATGTCCATGTCAAAGATTTTGGCGACTTCTCTTCTCTTCATCGTATCCTTCAACATCTTCTCCATGTATCGAGTTCGCTCGCTGCGGGAGTGAGGACAGACTTGCTTTCAATGACAGTGAAGTTCGTGTCCTCAACAACGATGTGCTACCGATCTCGCCCTGGTTCCCATCTCGCAACCTTGATCTCCCTCACTTTCGCCTGGCATGCTTCCTCAAAGGAAATCGCCGACCTGCTCTTCATCTCACAAACAGAAATTCGGTTATGGAGACACAGGAGGGAGAGGGGAGGGGGAGAGGAAGAGAAAGATACGGGACGGGGAGGGGGCAGCTTTTTCAGCCTCTTCAAGCACCTTTCTCGATCAGTTGCCGCATAATCCACACTCGCAATAATCAGTTCCTTGGACACCTTGGATCTTCATGTCAGCCTCTCATGCGCGTCATATGCATCAAACCTGTCCTGCAAGTCTGCTCGACCTCTGAACTCCCAGCCATGTCATGCAATTGTTGCCGTCAGGGAGGATCTGAACCGCATAAGGAGCATGTTTGTGCCTGTCGTCATTGCTGCTTTCACTCTTCGGGTACAGGAGGAAAGAGCAGCCGTATTTGGTCCCTTGTATCAATCTCCATTCTCGCTGACTGTAATGATGATAGACTATAAAATTCCTCTGAAATTCGACGCTCCGCTCTGAAAACAACTTCCACGCTTCTGCCCGATCGATGAACTTGTGCTCCTGGCCTTGTGCACGGATCTGCAACTCATGTAGGATGAATGCTTTGTAAAACGCTTCTTCCAACGACATGAAAAGATTCTTTCCAGCGTCTTCACTTCCAGAGTTCATCTTTTCAACCTTGACCCAATCGTCAAGTACTTGAGCTACCTCGATTTGTTCATCCGGGCCGTCAAAACTTGCCCTCATTTTCTTTCTCTTGCCTTCTTCCATGTCCCGTTTCTTGGTCAGTCCACGTCCAATCAAGACTTCTCCTCCCCTCCCCTTGTCTCTGTAACCTTCTATCTCTCACTTTCCTCTCTCCTTTCCCCCTCTCTCCTCCTCTCTCATCGTCTTCCCTCCTGATGTCTTCAGATCCTGCATACGCCCATTCCTTGACATGACAATCGGGTTCGATCTAGCCCTCGTCCCCTCACTTACTATCTCGAAACCCTCATCCCCTGACATTCTCCAAATTTTTCTCTATTTTCGGGACATCAAAAAGATATTTTAAATTCTCCTTCCAATAGACTCTGGATTCAAGTATACATAGTAAAATCTACCAAATAATTACATTATATTTAACCGTGGTACTGGAGACCTTTGTTTTTCTAGGAACACATATATATATATATTTTATTTTTGTATATAATTTGTGTACCTAGTATAGTACCCAAAATGCAAGTTAAAAATTTTTAACTACATCTACTCAAACTACCCCACCCCTTACTCCACCATTGGCAAGGATTTTTTGGTCCGAGAAAAACAAGGGGGGGGGGCAGGGGTAGTAGAGGATGTGTTCTGGAACGGTGGGGTATCATTGGGGGATGGGAGGGGTATCAGGAGGGTGTCCAGCCGGAATGATCTGACGATCAGGTAGGTGGGGTCATCAACTAAGGGGTAATGATGGGGTGGGTAGTATTCAAGTGTCTCATACAATATGGGTAGGGTGATAAAGGAGGGGTACTTCAAACACAAAAAGTGTAGGAAATCAGTAGGTTCACAACACGTCAGCCTTAATACTAAGGGTGGGTGGGTGGGAGGACGGGTCACATAGTGGGAGTAGGTAGGGTGGTTGTTGTTGAGGTGTCCCGCTTGCCTGTTTCATGCCGCACGAGCCATACGGGAACAAGATGGAGGAGGAGGAGAGAGGAGGAGAAGAGAAGGAGTGAGAGGAAGGAACATGACTGGCGAAAAGAGATGAGATCAGCGGAAATGTTGAAAGAGGAGGGACATGCGTGAACGCGGTCTTCATGCGAAACAAGCTCAAATGCATACTTTTGATAGATTTTTGTACTTCCAGGGTGAGACTAGTTATTGGTGCAACTTTATGACATTTTGGAAGAAGGTTTATTGTAATGTATGAAGATAGGAAGAAAAGTGTCGGATGTTGGATAGAACTTTCAGGTCCAAATCAATTCCTGTACAAATGCTGGAAGTCGTACAGTTTTCCAGATATGCTTAGATTCATGGTCTTCAGCAAGGATATGGATATGCATATGTCTGAGTAGCAGCTTCGATGTATCTGTTTCGCGTCGGTGTCAAAATTTATGGAGAATTCCAGAATGACTTGAGAAACTGCAAGTTGTGACAATTGATGTGCAGCGCTTAAAAAGCGAGAGATCTTTGCATGTCGAGCGTTGGATTGGCTGCTCCCTTTGGTAAGTGTCAACCTCTGTGTCACAACTTGTTCTCATCACTGCCTTTGTCAGATCCATTCGCGGACGCCGCCACTGCTGATACTGGTGAAAAGCTTGAACAAGGCTACGTGCACATTCGCATCCAGCAGAGAAACGGTCGCAAGTCTATCACGACTGTCACTGGTCTCTCTCAGAAGCTCGATTTGAAGAAGATTCAGAAGGCCATCAAGAAGGAGCATTGCTGCAACGGCACTGTTCTTAAGGACGAAGAATCTGGCAAGGAAGTTCTGCAGTTCCAGGGTGACCAGCGCGAAGCTGTCAAGACCTTCCTGATCAAGGAAGAGATCTGCGACAAGGACAGCGTGAAGGTTCACGGTTTCTAAGGGTCCGTGACCCTGCAAGGGCGATTGTTGAATGCCCTGATCACAAGCAAGCGTGCGAGTGGTCATTCCTTGTTAAGGAGACTCGAGATTTTAATCTGCAAGGTTGTTGCCCTGGGTTACGTCAGCAGCGTATGATCGTGCCTGGAACCTCAAGGCTGCAGCGATAACGGGCGGTGAAGATGGTTTCTCATAGTGATTGTGAAGAGTGTTGCAACTACATACACAAGAGAACTCGTGCATGCCGGGAGGAAGGGAGGGTGGCTGGTTGGCACGACGACGTTGATGTTTCCAGCGGTAGGTGTTGGGTTCCTCATCCTGTGCTTGTAGCGTCTGCCCCTAAGTTAGCTAGCACATGTCTTTCATCCTCAGAACAATCAGCGTGGGAAGGGAAGACAGGAATTTTAAGTCTTTCCTGCTTTGTCGTAGATCCAGGTTAACTCTCTTGCAATTAAATCTCGTGTGATAATCTCCTCTCCTTCGAACCTTCACTTATAACATCATACATCTTGTGTACACACCTATCTACATCTCATTCTCCTCGATCTGCTTCACACCCATCCCTCAACCGTTTCGTACTCATTTCATCTTGCTCCGAGGACGTACCGCAGACGCCTGTCGCACGTCAAAATTCTTTGGCCTCTTTCTCTTGAACTCACCTGTCGGGTCTGATCCAGTCCGTCGTAGCATGTCAGGCCATTCTTGTTCTTCAACGCTGAAAAGATGTCAATCTATGACAATCTCCTCCTCCCTCTCCTCCTCTATGACAGTCTCCTCCCTCTCCTCTTTTTCATTTCCCCTCCTTCTCATCCTCTGCTCACCATCGTTGGCTCCCTTGGAGATAAGATAGTCACCAAGCTCACCGTACCTACGCGAGGATCAGAGGAGCAGTGGCTGAGCGCAAGAGCAAGGGGGGGATGTTGTCAGCGAAGAATGGCAGCAGGGAGAAGATTGGAGGGAGGATGAAGAACGGAGGAGAGGAGAGGAGAGGAGAGAAGGGGAGGAGAACGATTCCAGGAAGGAAAGAGACCCGTAAGTGAAGCAGTAGTGCAGGCAAGTGTTCCCGTGGACATTAATTGCGTTGATGTCAGCCTTGTTGCGAAGGAAAAGTTTCGCAACTCTCTTGCGATTGTTCTGGGAAGCAACGATGAGAGGTGTGTTGCCGTTCTCATCCCGAACGTCCACAGGAACTTTCTTCCCATCAACCTGCGTGATGCATGTTAGATCAACCCCCTCGTCCTCTTCGTTGTCCTCGTCCTCCTTCTTTCTGTCCTAGTCCTCGTCCTCCTTGTCCTCCTTCCCTTCTCTGTCCTCTCCTTCCTGCTACTCCTCTTGCCCCGCTTCTTCCTTCTCTCCTCTTTTCACCTCAGTGAGCAGAATCCTCTCGCAGTCGTGATAGCGGCCGTGACGAGCTCGCGAGAAGATGCCGAAGTACTTCTTGTCGAGCTCTGACTTGCCCTCCTTCGCCCACTGCTGCTTCTCCGCCTCATTGAGCTCCTCGGCTGCTCGGTCAGGCTCCTCCGAGGCCTGTCGGCGGATAGTCAGGTGGAGAGAAGGGATGCGAGGAGGAGCAGAGATGAGCAGGACAGAAGAGGATGAGACAAAGAGGAGGAGGAAATGGGAAGAGGAGGAAGAGGCAAGGAGCAGAACAAGAGGAGGAAAGGAACGGCGAGGAGGAAATGAGAAGGGAGGGAGGGGCAAAGGAGGAGCGTGCGCCAAGGACGAGGAAGGAGTATAGGAATAGGAAGAACTTCACCATCGTGTCCATGGTGGCATCGCTCATGACAGACTGAGCATCGTCGTCCACCTGAGTCAGGAACAGTCAGGAAAGAAGCAGAAGGGGAGGGGCAGAAAAGAAAGACGAGGACGAGGACTAGGACTAGGACGAGGACTAGGACCAAACAGGGTAAAAACGTAAGGTTGAGGGAAGTCGAGGAACAGGCAGAGGCGAGGGTGAGAGAGGAGGACGAGGACGAGGACGAGGACGAGGACGAGGACGAGGACGTCACCTTGTTCTTCTTGCTCATCTCGTTCTTCAGCTTCTCCTTGGCCGCCATCTGCTCAGCCTCGCGCTTGTCCAGCCTTTCCTTCTCCTTCTGCAGCTTCTCGAGCTCCTGCGTCGACCAAGGTTGGCGGGGAAGGAATTCTAAAGAGGAGGGGGAGGAGGGAGGAGAAGATGGGAGGAGCTCGTGGTGGAAGGAGGAGGAGGAGTGAATGGAGGAGAGAGTGCGGGAAGAAGAGGATACCTGCAAGTGCTCAAGATCTCTTTTCTCCTTCTCCAGCTTCATCCTTCGTAGCTGAGAGATTTGAACAGGTCAGATTCAGAACGCGCATGGATGAGAATTTTGAGGGCACGTGAAGAGGACCAGAGCAGGAGGAGGAATCGAGGAATAGGAGCAGAAGAGGAGGAGCAGAGGAGGAGGAGCAGAGGAGGAGGAGCAGAGGAGGAGGAGGAGGAAAGTGTCTGTCACATTATCGAGCGCGGATTCATGTTCTCTCTGCCTCTTCTCCTCTTCCATGTGCTGCTTCCTCAACACGTCAAGGTCGCTGATCCTGCTCGCCGCCTACAACAGCCATCTTCAACCCTCCTCTGACTTCTCTGTCCTCCCCCACCTGCTCCTTCAGCTGCCTCGTATAGTCTTGCAGCTGTTTCAACTCCCGCTCCTCCTGCTCAACCGCTCAGCAGACAATCTCCATCCTCATTCCTCTCACCTCTGCTTCAATCTGCTCCGCCTCCTCACGCTCTGCCCTCGCTCGCGCTAGCTTCTCCGCCCTCTCCTCCTCCTTCTTTGCGAGCGCCTGCCGATCCTGCAGGACCTGCTGCAGTTGCTTCTCCATCGCATGTTGACGGTCCTCCAGCTCCACCTGCTCGCCATAAGTTGACCACCGCAAACTTCTCAGCTGGACCTTCTCCTTCTGCACTCTCTCAAAGTCATCCTTGAGCTTCTTCATCTTCTCCTCGTGCTCGCCCTGCCAGTCATCACGTTTAGCGGGCTGCGTCCGCTCCCTTCCCCTCCCCTCCGCTGCAAGCCTCTCCCCTCTTCTCTCCCCTCCCCTTTCCCCCTCCCCTTCCCTCCCCTTCCCTCCCCTCTCCCCTCTCCCCTCTCCCCTCTCCCCTCTCCCCTCTCCTCTCCTCCGCTCACTCACTCCTCTCCCTTCCCTCTTTCCTCCCCTCCCCTCAATGTCCCCCCTCCTCCTCTCCTCCTCTGACCTTCTCTTTCTCCATTCGCTCCTTCCTCTCGGCTTCTCGGGAATACTTTGCATCCAGGGAAGCTTTTTCAGCTTCTAATCTCTGCAAGTTTGTCTTCTGCTCCCGCAGCTTCTCCTCCTCTCTCTGTCGCTCATCCTCCATAGCAGCAATCTGCTCCTGCTGCTCCTTCTCCTGCTCGAGAGTGTGAAAGTGGTCCTCCTCCTCTCCTCAGCCCCCACACTTCCCATCTGTCCATTCTCCTCCCCCTCCACCCCTTCGCCCCCTCCCCATCCTCGTCCCCATCCTCGTCCTCGTCCTCGTCCTCACCTTTCTCCTCCGCTCCTCTGCCACTGCCTGCAGCTCCTGCATCTTCTCTCTGTGCTGGGCGTCAGCTGAGGCGAGCTCTCTCTTCTGCTCCTCAAGTTTCTCATGGACCGTCTGCATGTCACTTGCGATCTGAAAGAAAAATGTCAAACACAGCCAACAGAAATCCTCCAGCTCCTCGCCTGCTGCATCTTCTGCACCTCCTTCTCGGTCCTCTCGATCGCCTCTCGTGACGCCTGGATCGACTTCTCTGCCTGCTCCTTCTCCCTCTCGATGCCCTCCAGCGCTCTCTTGCTCTCCTCCGCCCTCTCCTCCGCATCCTGACGAGCTTCCCGCAGCGACTTCGCGTAGCTCTCAGCGTCCTCGTTCAGCTTCCGCCGCTCCTCGAGGTGCTTTCTCAGCTCTGAGATTTCATCTTCGACGCTGCGTCGTTGAGCGTCCAGCTCCTGCTGCTGCGACCTCAGCTCCTCCTGCTCCGCCAAGGCCATGGCTTTCGCCTTCTCCGCCTCGACGTGCTGCTTCCTGACCTCTGCTGCCTCGGCAGCCAACGCTCTCTCCGTCTCCTCCATCTCAAGGAGCTGCTTCTCAATCTCCTTCCGCTCCTCCTGCAGCCGCTGGTTCTTCGTCTCCAGCTCCTCCTTCCTCGCCGCGAGCTTCGACTGCTCACTCTCCTCCACACCTTCAAGCTCCTCGATCTCCGACCGCAGCGACTGCACGTCTCTCTCCAGCCTCTCCTTCTTCTGACGAGACTCGTGCTTCCTGTTCGACGCCTCGTGCACCTCGTCGCTCAGCTTCCTGCATGCTTCGTCCAGCGCCTCCACCTCCTCCATCAGAGTGTTCAGAGCGCTCTCGAGGTCTTTCCTCGTCTGTGACTTCGCGTCCTTCTCCTCCTCGAACTTCTGCAGCCTTTCCTTCAGCTTCTGCTCCAGATCGTTCAGGTGATCCTCCTCCTCATGCAGACTGCGTATCTCCTTCTCCACCATCTCCCTCCTCTCTGCCCAGCCGTCTTGGTTGGACTTCATCTCGTTCAGCTCCTCCTGCAGCTCCGCCTGCTCAGCACGCAGCAGCTCGTCCGAGATCTTCCACTGCCCGAGCTCATCACGGAGGTCGATGATGTTGGACTTTCGCTCCTCGATCGACTCCTTCACAGACGCCAGCTCAGCCTTCAGCTCTTCCTCGCTCCTCTGGTACACTGGCATCTCTCCTCTAGCCTTCGCCAGGGCACTCTCCATCTCCTCCCGCCGCTTGCCTTCCTCCTTCCTCAGCCTCTCCAGCTCGGCAATCTGCTCGGCTGCCGAGAAGTCCTTGGAGTTGAGGGTACGGCGGAGCGACAGGATCTCAGCCTCTCTCTCCCTCCTCATCGTCTCCTCCTGTCTGTAATCGTCTTTCAGCTGCTTCAGCTGCTCGAGCTGCTGCTCAGCTAGCTTGGACGAGTTCGACTGACGATCCTCGAGGCGGCGGATCTCCTCCTCCAAGACCAGCTGCTCCTTCTGCAGAGGAGCGAGCTTGCTGCGAAGATCGAGAAGGTCCTTGCGGGACCTCTCGAGCTGCTTCTCAAGGTCCACCTGAAACTCATCGTCAGGACATCGTCATCATCATGGTAATCAGCGAGAACATCTGAAGAAAGAACAACAGCGGATGTGAGAACAGCTGATAGTAGTGCTGATGCTATACAACACCTACTGATAGCACAACGACTGATAGCACAAACAGGACAACTACTGACAGCACAACTACTGATACAAACCAACTAATAGAAAAACAACTAATAGAACTACCACAACAGCCAACGTCACCTTGGTTCGATAGTCTCTAGCGTACTCGTCCTGCACACCAGCAAGCTCCCGAGATATCTCATCGGATTGAGATGAGACGTCAGATACTTTCTTCTTCGTCTCCTTCAGCTCCGCACGCTTGTTTTCGATCTCTTTCAACTTCTGATCGAGAAGTTTTTGATGTTGTGACGCCTCCCCAGACTCGACAGAGCTCCATCGCTCCTGCACATAACAGTCATCATCATATCCATCAATCATCACAACATCATGACAACATTTCTTATCATCTTATTCATCGTATCCATCATATTCACCACAATTATATTATTCACTGTAATCAGCAGCATCATTATAATCGTCGTCGTCGTCGTCGTCATCATCATCATCATCATCATCATCACAAGCATAATCAGCAGCACCATCAACCGTCTCACCTCGGCTTCCTTGACCATCTTCTCCAGCTCTTGAATGCGCGTGTCCGCGTCAGCAGCTGCTATCTCCTTCTCCTTCATCCTGCGCTTCAGTTCCTCCTCCCTGCTCGCACAAGATTCCTTGCGCTCCTCCACTTCTCTCTTCGTCTCTTCCAGCAGCTTCTGCAGCTCGCTGCTCCTCTCCTCCAGGTCTCGAGCTCGCATCCTTTCCCTGTCGTAGTCAGCGCGCAGTTTCTGCTCCATCTCCTCCTTCGTGGAGTTGCTGCTCTGCAGAGCGTGGGATTTCTCCAGCAGATCTGCCTGAGCCTGGGCCAACACTCTTGTCATCTCCTCCAGCGCCTTCACGTGCACATCCCGCTTGCTCTCAGCGTCTTTCAGCTGCTGCAAGAGGATCTTCCCTTCCTCCTCTGCCTCCTCCACTGCCTTCTCCAGCACCTCCCGCTGCGATCGGGACGAGTCCGACTGCACCGACAAGTTCTTGAGGCGCATCTCAAGGAAGTGAACCTGCCCGTCTGCTGCCTCTCGCTCCTCGGTCGCCATCTGAAGGGCTCCCAGCAGCTCCTCCTTCCTCCTCAGCAGCTCCTGCAGCATCTCCCTGTTGTCCGACAGGGATGTCTGCGCGGATTCAATCTCGTTTCTCAGCTGGCTGATCTCGCTGACGCGGTTCTGACCCCTGACCTCTCGCTCCTCGAACATCTTCTGCAGCTTTGCCAGCTCCTTCTCCTGCACCGCCTCCCTCTTCTCCAGACCCTCTAACAGCTGCTTTAGACGGTCGATCTCGTTAACCCTCTGCTTCGCTTTCTTCTCCGCTGCCTCCTTCTCCGTCCTGAGCTTCGCTGCTTCCTCCTGCAGGTCCCGCTGCCCATGCTCGATGGACAACCTCTCGTCTCTGAGCCGGTTCATCTCATCCATGAGGTTCTTCTGCTCCGTCCTCCTCCTCTCCACCTGCTCCTGCACCCTCTGCTGCTGCTCCTCCAGCTTCTTCGTCTCGAGATTGAGCTCCTGCTGCATCTTCTGCAGCTCTTCAAGCTTCAAGTCGCGGAACGACTTGGAGTCTGAAAGCTTCTTCCTCGCCTTCGCCAGCTCCTCGTCCACCTCCCCCTGCTCATTCTCCACCCTCTTCAAGCTTCTCTTCGCCTCCTCTAGCGCCGCCTCCGCCTCCTTCAGCGTTGCTCGGTAGTCTTCCTCCATGTCATGGAGTCGAACTTTCTCCTGCAGGCTGGCAACAGCCTTCTCCTTGAGCTCTTTGCACCTGGCATTCGCCTGACTCTCCAGCTTCATCATCCCATCTAGCTCAGCCTGGATCCTCGCGTTCTCCTCCTCGAGCCCTGCAATGTTCTGCTGGATGTCGTCGATGGTTTTCTTCCTCGTGTCGATCCGCGACCTGATGAGCGTCTCCTCGTGCCTCGTCAGCATCTCCTTCCTCTCCACAGCTTTCTCTTCCTGCTGCAAGTAGAGCATCTGGTCTTTCAAGGATACTGAGTCCGACTCCAGAGCCTCCTTGTCCTTCTTCAGCTGCGCGATCCTCTTCAGGTAGTCGTCCTTGCGCGCCTCGACCATCAGCTTCTCAGTCTTCGCCGCCTCCTCCTGCTGTTGCAGCATCTTCTCCGACATCTTCACCTCTGTAAGCTCTGCCTTGGCCTGCTCGAGCTTTGCCTCTGCCGCTGCCTTCACGGCTTCTGCTGCCTCCTTCTCCTTCTCCACCTCCTTCATCTGGGAGTGGATCTCCTTCATCCTGATCTGAGTCTCGCCTTCCATCAAGGATCTCCGGAGATTTTCTACCTCCTGCATCAGCTCCTTCTCCTTCATCCTGCTCGCTTCGATGTCATCCCGCACCTTTGCCACGTTGCCCATCTGTACGGCGACCTGCCGCTCTTGCACTTCAAGGTCGTGCATGGCGGACTGCATCTCGTCCAAGACAGACCTCTCCTCTCTCTCTTTCTCACGCTTCTGAGCCAAGATGCCATCAAGAGCATGTCGCTTCTGGTCGATGGATGATTTCACGCTATCGATCTCCTTCTTCACAATGTCTATCTCTTGCTCGGCCTTCTCAATCTGCTCTTGCTGCTTGTTTCCCTCCACCGCCAACTGCTCCATCTCCTCCCGGAGCTCCTTGTTCTTCTTCTCCCGCAGCTGCTGCGCTCGTCTCATCCTCATAGCAAGGGAGAGCTGCTCTCTCTCCAGCTCTTGCTGCTCATCTCTGCTCTGCTTCAGGCTGTTGATTTCTTCGATCAGGGCCATTCGTCTCTGCATGATCTCTTCACTTTCATTCTTGAAGGCCTCGATCTCATCGGCAACTTGAGACAGCTGCAATTCAGCCTCGGTTTTTCGTTTCAGAAGCTTCTCAAGGTTCTCTTTTTGCTCGAGAATATGTTTTCGCACATCCCATATGATCTCCGAGTACTTGTCCTCCTTGGACTTCATCGCAGTCTTCTGCTCCCACAACTCTTTCAGGATTTTCCGTTGCTCCGCTTCCTTCTCGACCAAACTTTGCAGCTCCCTTCTATAGAGATCGATGTCCTGACGAATCAGAGAGGAAGAGGGAGGGAGAAACAACAATCAGCTCGGGTCCATAGTTGTAGAAGACAACAACCTGCTGGTTTTGTTGGTAGAGACGATGTCTTGCTGTATCTTCTCTGTGGCTCATCTCAAGGCTACTCATCAATCTCTCGGAACCATTCGCATCTTCATCGTAACCAGCGCCTGGAACGGCTGACCGTGGACTCGCAAGCTCTGGGCCCTGCACACCACGTCAAGCACAGCTCACGTCAGAAGACCTCTCCATCACCTGCCGCCTCACAGCGCTCAGCCACCACTTGGCTACCATCATCCCCTTGTCGGACAGCTTCCTCCGCGCAGCCTCTGCCGCCTTCATCTTTCGCTCTTGCTGCCGCAGAAGCCATCTTTCGCGTTTCGTGGCGATGTCTTCAAGATGATTGATCTCTTCCTCCGCCTTCTCTTCCAATGCTCTTCGTTGCGCTTGCGTCGCCATGGTTGACTCGATCATGCGCGTCTAGGTGATGCAGTCCCGTCAGTCCTCCTCCTCTCAAGCACCAACAAGGGTAGACCCTCACCTTATCTTGCAGCTTCGTGCTCGCCCGGCCCTCACGAGTTTGTGTTTGCACCATCGTATCGAAGTCGGAGAATCTGTCCATCTCGACTTTGTCCACTTTTACCTTGACACCGTACTTTGTTCGAATCGCTCCCTTCATATCATCGGCATCCGCGTCTCTCGCCATGCGCGCTTGTTGCAGGTACTGCTTCCCTTGCGCATCCCCTTCACTGTCTTCCGTCCCTTCACTATCGGTCAGGCTGCTGTTTGCCGCATGCGCGCGCATGTCGTAGACTTTCTCCTCAATCTTGGGCGGTCTCTTCATCTCAACCTCAACTGAGGAATACCGTCCCTGCTGCTCCCTCGCATTCCCGTACCCTCCACTGCTCGTTCTCTCAGCCTCGGGGGTCCTGAGGACCGAGCCTCGGGAAAGAGCCCGCGGGAGCTGATCGTATCCTGCATCGTGTCCCGTGCTGCTGTGCGACACTCTCTTCACCTCGGGGTAGGTAGTGCGCGCGATCCGAGGGTCATGGCCAGGAGCGGATCGGCCCCGAGAGTTGAGCTGCATGACGGATTCATCATCATGGTCGGACTCGCTCGCCTCGAAGCTGCTTTCTTCTGAATCGGACAGGTCCTGCCTTGCTGCCAATACTTTCCTGTTCGCCTGAGAGGCAGCTCCCGAACCTCCTCTTGATTGAGTGGCCGCGCCCGAGCGAGGACCTCCAATTCTCGGGAGCATCGCCGAATTGTTTATCCGCTCATCATGGCATGTGAAGTGTCGATCGCCGCTCCTCTTGCTACCATGCTGAGTTTCCAAGACATGCACAAGAGATGTCAAAGAGGGTCAAGCTAGCTGATGCTGACGACCAGTATCGAGGCGGTCGGGCTACAGAAATGGGGAAAGGCAGGATCGATTTGTCTGTGAGTGAGAAACGGCGCACTGAAAGGTCAGCTCAGCAGTTGATGTGAGGAATGGAGGCAGAAGTGGTTGAGGAGCCGAAGAAGCAGCATGTCAACGCTGGGCCCTTTCTCCCCTCCCCTTTCTACTGCCATCTCTCCTCCTGCCCAACGCGCCATGGCGCTACTCCGTTACAAACATAAACGCTTCCGTAACGATCAGGTTTCCCTTTGCCGGACTGTCACCCGGCGTTTCAGTGATCGGACCGTACGGTACCGTGTCGGAGTGCCCGCCGGCGCCGCGGCGGCCCGCACCAGTCCAGGCCCGGGCCCGGACTCCCGTCCAGAACTCAACCATCCGCCGATCCGATTGGCAATGATGATCTGGACAATCAACTAGGGTTTACCTGAGTGCTGGTTAGACTTGCGCCCGGGCCGGCCGCTGCATTACTTTGGCTAGGTACATCAGCCAACTTGACAGCCTGGGTGCAGCAGCCTGGCATAATCTTGGCAAACTCCGCACACTGACGCACTTTATATGCAAACTATCTGACAATCAGGTTCCCGTGTTCAATAACAACGGGAAATGAGTGAAGCTGAAAATTCCAATGGCGGCCAGCGAGGAACTTAGCATCTAACTTGGATCATAAAACTTCTTGTACTTGAGAGCATGCCGCGTCACACAGTTCCCTGCGAGCAAGCAATCAGCCAGTTCCACCATAATTTAGCAAGAGACTACTTCGATCATGGGTCACAAGGTCCACCAGCACTCTGACCTGCAAATGGAACACATGAGCTGCATTAGTGACTGCTCACGGCGACTCATTTCGATGCTGCTGCGATTCGCCTCACCAAGTTTCGAAATTCAGCCTTGAGGCATCCCCAAGGTTGCTGCCATACTTGTCTGCTCCACAGACAGTAGGTAAAGTCGTGGTCGTCTCCGGAAGCATTCTGTTTCAAAAGATCAGGAGCGCAATCATGGCAGTTCCTCCCTCCCGGTGACGTGAAACACTCACATTGATCCTTTTTGAATGAGACCATTGACCAATGAGGTAGGCAAGACTGTATCCGAGAACCTGAATCGACATGAATCCATCATTGATCACAGAGTCGTCGTCATACTTATATTACCAATCTCTTAATCCAGGTCGGAACTCCTTGACCATCCCACTCAGCTCCTAGCGCAGACAAACAGCCGCCAGCCAGGAATCCAAGTGCTGCAGGTAGGATTCAGTGGGCAGACGACGACTGAAGGAAGAAACAATCTTCCATTCCGCCCCATTACCTACTGCATGCATTTGGCGACAAGCTTTCGACCTGTGTGAAGCGGCGAACTCATTGTAGATCAAAATGCCCTTGGCCGAACTGCTAGTTGACCGAGATCCTTTACTTTCACTTGGCATGAGCTGCACAGTCGTAGCGTCATGGATAGAGGACATGCTAGCAAAACTATTACATCTCGAGCCAGCTGTTCTCTCTTGAGCAAAGATATGTTGACAGGACAATGGTGCTTCTCGGGTGGCCGGTGATGTTCACCTGTGTTCGTGAAGACAACTTCAGCTCGATGAAAGGTCATCAGATCGAAACTCACAGAAAACTAGACTACATCTACATGGCATGTTCTGCTCGACGAGGTTGATTCCTTTACCACACGTAGCACATTTCTTGGGTTTTTCTAGCTTTCTTTCCTGCTTCGAGGACGTCTCTATGTCTTCAATCTCCACAGCTCTTTTCAGAATACATGTCAACTGAAGTACAGAGAATGAAGAATTCACACAAACTTTGGGGGTGCTGATTTTTCTATGGTGGCTATGATCAATTCGTTGTTTTCGAACCCGCACTGAGCTAATGTTTTGAAGTCTGGGAAAGACAAAATATAATCAAAAAGAAATCCTTTCAAGCCGGATAAACTCACCGTCTAGAATGACCCCTTTCCGAACAAAGTCACGTATCTTTCCTAGACTTGTAGATTTTTCAACCTTGTTCTTCAAGTGCTCAACGGTATCTGTGTAAAGAGCCTACAACGGGGTAAATGCAGCTGTCTTGTTCGGGCGTGTCTCTTACCTGTACTTTGGCAGTTTCCCCACTCACAGTCTTGATGTTCACAGTAAGTCCCATCCTGTTACTATCTGTCACTATGCGTTTCACCTTCGAACTTGGTCCATCCATGCACCAATGACAACCTTTCTTCTCGCCCCCCCCGCCTCGCCTCTTTCCCTCCTCTCTGACGTGTTTCCTCTCTCCCCCGCTCTTACTAGTTTCTAGCGCCCCTCCTTCTCTCCCCCCTCCTCCTTCCACCTCCTTCCATCCTCCCTCCGTCGTCCCTACGACTCCCCTCCATGTTCTGCCCAAGGGCAAACTGAGTTGACTAAACATTAGGAGGGAGGAGATCGCAATGGTCTGACCCTGAACATGAGCGCGCCGGTGGGGGAGGCATGCGGACCCTCCAGGGTGGTGAAGCCGACGGGGAAGCAACAGCAGCTTGGATGGGCTGTGAAGGAGGAGGACGCGATAGCGATGTATGCTCGTCCGATTCCATGGCCAGGGGAAGGAGAGATGCTCCTGCGGGTCCGTTCGTTCGCGGTGAGTGGTGCAGACTTGGAGCAGGTGAAGGGAAGGTTCGTTGCCCCGAGAGGATGCACCGACATCATCGGCATGGAGGTGTCTGGTGAGATCATGATCGTAGATGAGGAGACCGATGGCATGGTCGAGGGCGGAGCAGTCTGTGCGATGGTCTCAGGCGGAGGTTACGCTGAATTCTGTGTTTGCAAGAAGCAACAGGCGCTGCTGCTCCCTAGAGGATTTGACTGGAATGTCGCTGCTGCTATGCCGCTGGGCCTGTGCGTTGCATGGTCTTGCCTGTTCGAGCTGGCGGAGCTGAAGGAAGGAACGTCGGTCCTCATCCATGGAGGGGCGGGTGGGGTCGGGCACATCATGATCCAGGTTGCAAGAAACTTCGGCATCGAGGTCTTCACGACTTGTCGCTCCAAGCAGAAGGTTGAATTCTGCTTGTCCTTGGGAGCTGACTACGCATGTGAGAGCAACACAGAGGACATCGACAAGATCGTAAGGACGGCAACATGCGGCAAGGGTGTGGATGCTGTGATAGACTGCATAGGAGGAGATACGATCGATCGCAACATTCAGTTGCTGAAACCAGGGGGGAAACTTGTATTCCAAGGCTGCATGGTGGAGGAGGGGAAATTCAATATTCAAAGGTTGATAGAGAAGAAGGTTGAAGTGCTGGGATGCTCCATCCGCAACAGCGAGGAGGAGTTCAAGAACAAGATGTTCAAGGCAATACGAACTAAGGTATGGCCCCTGGTGCTCGATGGGAAGATCAGGCCTCATCTCAGCTCCGTTTACCGCATGTCCGAGGTACAGACAGCCATTGCAAAGATGAGAGAGGAGACGCGGGTTGGCAAGCTGGTCTGCAGCATAGGAGGAGAATTTTTGAAGGCAGCCGACTGATGCTACGTTCGCTCCCCGAGAGCAGGACTGCATCGGAGTTTAGATTCTCACTTCGATCCTCGAGATCAACGTCTGTGGGGTGGAAACCTTCAGCACTCCGGCAATCCTTCCTTGTCATCACCGACGCCTGAGACTATCTCTTCCTCGGAGGAGAGGAGGAGCATGCTCGTGGACTTACCCATTCTGTGTGTCGTTCGAGGACTTAACCATCCTGTGCCTGCCGTGGTCGCTTTCGCGCATGGAACTGCGAAAGGAACTGCGACCCGAAGAGGTCTTGCTAGGGGAACGATGTCGCTTTTATCAAACGGGTTGAAACTGGTTTGATTTGTTTTGAAATATTTGTTCTCTATTTTGAAAAATGTCTTGTCAATAATTGAAATTTAAAAACATCTTATAACTGTTGTGGTCGTGTTCTTTCTTCTCACAGAAAAGGTCACACGACCACCCCTACCCTCCATTATTCTATCACCCTACCCTTGGCATACTAGCTCAAGGTCAAAATCGATTTACTTGTTGTACCCCCCACCCTATTTTCTACACTTTGAATATGATTACGAAGGGGTTGAGGTCACACCCCTACCCTACGAATTGGCCCCCTGCACAGATATCCCCTTACCCACCCTTTTTTTTCGTCTGCCTACTACCCCTCCTGATCTGGCAGAACTACCCCACCAGCAGAACGTATCTCACAACTACCCCTGCTCAGCTTCTTGAAGCATGGCAGGCCGCGCGCTCTCGAAGTTTGTGGCAGCACATGGCGGGCGTTCGGGAGGGAGACAAGAATGGGCGGCAAGCTGAAGCAGGAGACGACATCCTCCTCCCCGACCTCCCCCTCCTGGAGTCCGTGGTTGCTGCACAGGGGCTCACACTTTCTCGTTGCTTCATTCTGAAATTTTACCCTCTCTTCCCCCTCCCCCTCGATCTCTTCCTTCCTCCCTCCCTTCTCTCTGCAAGATGCCCAACGTCGACCACCGTCTTGTGTGAGAGGATCGTTGGTCTGTGCCTCGCCTGGCATGCTGAATGATCTTCTGCACTGACCCATCAGCCCCTTGAAAGCAGAAAGCGCTTCACATGGATTCAACGGCGGACTTTTCACTGGTTGCAGTGGATGATGTCGATTCGGATCCCACTCTTGCTGTCAACGAACATCCTGAAAGCGTCCCCCAAGAAACTGCTCCACAGGAACCCCCAGAAACAGGTCCAAGGGATACCCCAGAAACTTGTCCAAAGCCTACCGTGTTTGGACGAAAACGGCATAGCAAAGGTCCAAAAAGGAACAGGAAACGCTTGAGGTTTAATGAGGAGCCACTTTTTGGCAGAGATACTGGATACATTTGTAGTCATTGCCATGGTATCTTCTGGGGACCCTTAATCCGTGAAAATTTAGGTGTTTGGAAGTTTTGTCCAGCTTGTGGGTCGGCCTTCAGCGAGGGGAGCCAAGTATCGTATTCAGAGATCGCTATACTTCCAGAAGAAGCTCTTTCAGAGAGAATGGATCAATTTGAAGTGGTTGTTACGGGCGCCAATGAAACGGAAAATCAACTCTTGCGAAAGTTGCAGAAGAAATACAACAATTCGAGGTTTTGCGATGTATGTGGGCATGCTGGAGTTGACGTCCATTGTTCTGAGTGTCCATCTAGCTTTCATAAGAGCTGCATGGGTATTCTTGCAAATTTTCCTCTTTCCCATCGCTGGACATGCAATGCTTGTATACATCACGCCCATGAAAAATTGGAAAAACATGTGCTGGTTGTAAGTCAAACATGTAGAGGTCCATGGAAGCTGCCAGAACAGGCGTTGCAGTGCTGCTCGTGTGGATATCATGAGATCGAGTCGACCACCTGCGATTCGTGTTGTCGGTCATTCTGTTTTGCGTGTATGTGCCTCAGTAATGCGACGGTTCCACCTGACTTTTGGCATTGTCCCGAGTGCATTGGGCAAGAGCGGTACGATGAGATGTTGAAAGAGAATATTGCTAAGTCTAGAGAACGGCTAGAAGGCAATGATATTTCCTCGAAAGGACAAGACTGCTTTTCTCAACTTGTGTTTGACTTGCTTTGTGCGTGCGCATGGGAGGAATGGTACAGAAATATTGAACCACTAGTGCGACATGTATTGAATCAATTGGATAATGGTGAGGTTCCTGTCATTATGCCCTTTCATGCGTTGCATTACACCTCTTCTGGAGTAAGCTTTGACAAGGGTACGATTCGACGGATAGCGGAGGCATATGCGAAAGATGCGAAGGAAAAAGCTTTGAAACTCATCAAGCAAAAACCGAACAAAGAAGATGACGATGAATACCATGCATGGAGGGATGAAAAGATAATCTTGAATCCTTCCGAAAATGGCATTCCGCGTCTAAGAATAGGTTATATCAGCTCAGATTTTGTGGACCATCCAACAGCAGACTTGATCCAAAGCGCTCTCTTGCTGCATGACGACTCTAAATTTGAAATTTTCTGTTACTCCATCACACGAGATGATGATAATTCGCATTACCGAAAAACAATTGCTCAAGAAATTGAGCATTTTCGTAATTTTTCTCAACGAGACAACGACAAGAAATGTGCAGAGGCGATTGCTGAAGATGGAATACACATCCTGGTCAATTTGAATGGGCATACTGCTGGGGACCGTAATGGAATCAGCGCGCTTCGCCCTGCACCCGTGCAGCTTGTTTACTTAGCTTATCCAGGCACAATGGGGGCAGATTACATCGATTTCAACGTCGCCGATCGAACTGTATGCCCAGAGAAGCACCGGGAATTCTATACTGAACGAATTCTACATATGCCTTACTGTTATCAGACAAACTCCTTCCGTCACCTTTATCCAGAAATTTTAGATCAAAAGAATCTTCCTACCAGGGACGATCATCAACTCCCAGATCATCCAACAGTTGTATTTTGTAACTTTTGCAGACTTGGTAGGATTACTGCAGACTTGTTTCAAATCTGGATGAATATTCTTCGTAGAGTGCCGAACAGTGTAATTTGGTTATACAAGCATCCGAAGGCAGCTGTGCCAAGGCTACAACTACAAGCGAAACGATCAGGAATACCCCCAGAACGCCTTGTGTTTGGACCACCCTGTAGCCCGAAGATCGAACATCTCAAACGAGTCACGCTGGCCGACCTCTGCTTGGATACCATTGTTTACAACGGACATACAACAGCTAGTGATATGCTGTGGGCTGGAGTTCCCTTCGTGACTGTCAGTGGCGATAACTGGCCTTCGCTTGTGGCTACATGTATCGCAAAGTCTGTCGGAATGCCTGAAATGGCAGTATCGAATCTAGCGGAGTATGAAGAATTGGCGGTAAAACTTGGAAACGATCCGGTGATGTTGAGAGAATGGAAGACGAAACTGCAAGCTAACCGATTAAGCGCTCCACTATTCGATCCAGAAAGGTGGATAAGAAGCTTTGAATCAGGTTTGGAGAAAGTATGGAGGCTATATGAACAGAAGATTCAGTTTCCAATGGATTTAGAGTGTGATGACTTCGGAGCTTCAGAAGCAGCACAGAAAGGTGTTGTTGGGAATATCCGAGGAATCGAGAACTTTGAGCAACGGAAGCACTTTGCATTTCGTTGTGACAACTCGAAACTTGCTCTTGATCTTGGATTGAAAAAGAAGAGGTCGCAATCATTTGCTTTCAACAGGAAAAGAAAAGAATTGCAAGAATTGAAGCGGTTACGTCCTTTTTCGAAGAACATCAGAGAAAATTCTGTGATGATTTCTAAGAGGACAAAGGCTGCAAACAGCATGACGAAGCTGGATAGATTTTCGAAATTGAAGAAACATCGAGAGCACTTGTTGTTGTCTGAGAAGAGCAAGCTTCAAGGGGACTCACAGAAGCAAGATCGCCAAGATTATGGTGGTGATCATGCAGACTTTGAATTTCTGGAAGTAGACAACGATGTTGATTTCAGTCTGACCAGCCATGAACATGTCAAATCAGAGGACAAAGTGTTGAACCCTAACGTTGATTCACAGACTCCAATTGCAGTTGCTGGTTCGTCCGAGGCTGAGAAATCACAACCAAATTTGTCATCACAGCAAGAAAACGTCTCCACAGAAAAGTGTAGTCAGGAGAGCATAGCAGACGAAAAGAAACTGGAGAATGATACTGGACCAATACCGCAATCTTCAGTCACAAAAGAGGATACACCCGCAAGCTCTGGTCAGGAAGCATTGACTTTGGAGGTGAAATCAAATAATTCTAGCTTGATAGAGACGGTAGCAGAAGTGCAATTGACGTTGAACGGACTGGAAAACTCGCATGCTCTGCCGGCCATTAAGAAAGATGACGTTTCTACAGCTGTGATGAACCATGCAGTGAAGACTGAAAGTGGGAATGATGCTCAGACAACGTTTGCCATTATGAACTCCAGTGAACTTGCAAAGGACCAAGGAGAGGTCGGTGTGATCATTCAACACACAGAATTGAATCCTCTTAGCGCTCAAGGAAATGAATTCGGAGGAATTTGCACTACAAACCGAAGTCAAGCCAACAACAAGAAGAAAGGGAGAAAGAAGGGACAAGGTCCTCGAGCCGTCGAATTCGGAACTTCCCCCCAAAGTGTGATGCCTCCTCAGAATAATGGACATGCACGGGCATCTGGCGTAGCAATTAACCCGAGCGATGTTTCAATGGCTGTGTCGACCGAGAGGGGGAAGGACCTGGAGAAACTGCACAGCAATGTGGAGGCCATGACGAGGTTTCTGAGCCAAGGTGAGAGTCAGCAGCAAAGACAGTACTTGGGAATGGAGAAGGGAGCACCGACAGTCCTTCAGTCGAATGTGCCTTCTACAACCATTGCAAAGCCACATGAATTGAGCTTATCGGTTGTTCCCAGCTCGAATGGTCCAGTCAGAAACGACTTGAATATGATCTCGAATGCTCAGCCCGTCTCTAATGTCTCTGGATCGATGGCGCATGTCAGTTTGGGCAATCAGCTTCCAACCCTTCTACCTTTGAGCAGAACATCACCGCTGCTGGCGAGCTCCGTATATAAAGGGGACAAGAAGGATGGAAAAGCTCAACATCTTACACTCAATCAGGGGCTGAACACTGTTGTTGCTAGTCCTCACGAATTGGTTGCTTCGCAATTCTCCAATGGTCATTCTCAGGTGCCAGGCCTGCTGAAGAACCCGCCCGGTGTGAATTTGAGCCAAGGAAGACAAGGGCCGAAGAAAGGCCGGAAGTCTGGAGGAAGCAAAGGGGCAAGTGCTGATCGACCTGCCGTCACTGCAGGGTTTCCTTGCCATCCCCAGGCACCGGAGGCTTACGTTGTAGATCTGATGGCGACGAAGAGAATTCAAAAGCAAGGTCAAGGAAGCAACGGCTCGGACAATGCTCCTCTGATTTACCCCAATGGCATGGCGAACCCTCACCCAACAGTCATCAAGCATTCTCCGAACGCAGTGGTTGGCCACCCGCTCGCTGCCAATCATTGCACAGTCAAGGACAGTGTGAATGGTCGGAATGCAGGAATGACGATGTCGCTCGTTGCTCCAGCCAGCCCCGGAGTGTCAACGTCAGGGAGTCGGCACGACTCTATCAACTCTTCAAATGGCTCGCAGGAAGCTGATAGCGTTACCAGCATCCTCGTTCCCGTCGGAATCCCCCGCACGGTCTTGCCGCCTCCCCTGCCCAAGGAAGTCACCAGGAAGTGCTCCCAAAGTTACCAGAGCGTCCCTGGGAACCAAGTCAACATCAGCGAGATGCTGACGTTCATGATCAGGAAGATCGTCATGGTCGAGTTGGAATCTCATAAGCAGAAGAGCAGTGCTAACGACTCCTTGCAGCGGCACCTTCAGCGTGTGGAGGTCGAGGCGGTCAATAACCTGAGGGCGCTTATGGAAATCCTTCCTCCCTACGAGCAGAGGCTGCAGCATGGCAAGTTCGAAGACGTGCATTACAATCAGGTCCTGACACACGTACGGGGGATATCACAGGAGATTGCTCCTCAGTGCATCTGGTTGAGCAAGGAGATCGACATGGACGATGATCTATGACATTTCGGCGCTGGCTCCATGCATGGTCATAGTTTATTTATAGCAAGACTCGGTTAGACAGGATTGCATACTTGTACATATGTTATGTTTGAAGGAAATTTCATCCCTCGTGGTGCTCGTCGGGCTTGTAGTTGTCATCGTGATGCTCTGATGCCCCTTGCTCGCGCTGGCCTTCACTGTATCCTCCATTTTCAGGAGCAGGAGGGTCCCTGTCATGGGACTCCTGCTCCTCTCCATGCTCTCTGTCTCTAGTCTCCTCTTCCTCTCTCCTATCTTCTCCATCTCGGTCGTCCTCTCTCCATCTCCCCTCTCCACCGGGCCCTTCCACATCTCGCCAAGCTCTCGCCTCAGCCTCTTCGTGCGTCCTCCATCTTTCCCCTCTGCCTGGGCTGTCATCTCGATCCGGCCCATCGGGTCCACGATAAGCATCTTCGTCCTCACGAGCTCTCCGATCTACGGAGCGGGAGAAAGGTTCTGTGCTGCCGGGTCGAGGAGGAGGAGGAAACTCGTCCCGATTGTCTCTTGGCCCGCCTTCGTCAACAGAATCAAGCCTCGGGCGCTTGTAGCTCTCAGGATGGCGAGGTTGGCGATTCCTCCTCCTCATTTCCCCCGAGCTCTTCCTATTCATTCTTGCCAGCGACTCGTCAGTACCACGGCAGCACATCAACGGGCAGCTCACTGTGCGTAGCAGATGCTGAGGACTCGCCCGTCGAGTCTCGTTCCGTCGTAGCTCCTCAGAGCCGCCTGCACAGCCTCCGTGAGCTCAACAGGCTGACAGGCATCACCAGTGACCTTGCAGTCCAGATAATTCTCAAACTCCACGAAGGCAAAACCCCTTGGGATGCCTTTGTAATAGGAACGAGGGATGTAAACGTCTAGAATCCTCCCAAACCTGTTGAAGACCTGATGGGAGAGTCAGCTGTGTTCTCACGTCTTTCTGCAAACTAGTCTGCCTGTCTAAGCGTTTCCGCTGTAGTTGAGCGAGAGAGATTGCGAATCAGCAGACTGACGGGTTCGCCGGCCCTTCACCAACATCACATAGTGCAGCTGAAAATTCCTCTCGACCCCCACCTGGGATCAGGGTAGCGACGATCCTTGGGGATGCTGGGAGTGCGATCTCTTGACCTGCTCGAGCTCGTCAACCCTGCGATCAAGCAAATATCGCTTCCACCAGTAGGCATCCCTCTCATACGGTGGCTGGTCGACGGCTCTGCCTCGCCCATAGCTTCGATAGCGATCTCGATCGGCTGGGTCTCGGTCGCGGGGATCGCGCTCTCTACCTCGGCTGAACCTGGGCGGAGACAAGGGTCGATCGTACCTGAAGGCTATCAGGACACTCGTGGCCACCATGTGCCCCAAGGGATCTACCGGGATCGCTGGTCATACGGGGAAGGAGGCCCTCGTGCGTCAAACCGTCCTGACCGCCTCCTTTGACTAGGTCAGGGGGTTCGTTTGTCATGAGACTACTTCGAGCCTCACCTCTCCTCATAGTCATATCCTCGTGGAAGGTAAGGAACAGGCCTAGCCGCCCTGTCCAGATCTCGAGCCTCCTGCCGGCCCCCAGGAGGTTCGTTTTCCTTCTCTGGCCTTCTCGAATCTTCGTAGTCATCGAACGGTGGTCTGAGGCAGGATGTGAGTTTCGAGCTGAGAAGTCGCTCCTGACCCTCTCACCTCGTCGGGGCTCTCCGATCGAACTCAGGATCCTGTGCCCTCTCGTACTCCCTGTGAAGAATGCCTTCTCGAAAACTTCGATCCCGAGGATCGCGGTGATCGGCTGGTCGACCTTCATGATACCTGTCCTCCTGTGGAGGAGGAGGGATGCCTCCATCATCGTTTCTATCATCGTCCTGCTCACACGAGCGTCATTCACGCTACTACATAAGCTCCGTTGCTCACTTGAAAGCCTCCCCCGTAGCCTCTGTCACGCCCGCCAGCTCTCCTTCTGCTCATCGCGTCAGGATAGGAAGGGATCGTCGAGTGACACCTGTAGCCTCCGGATCGGCTGCCCCTCCGGCGATCGGCCCAGTCTCCTTCGGGAGGATACTCATCCACATTTCGCCATGAGTCTGCATGATCTGGATGCCGCGCGTCCTCTATGTCGCGGTCGTCCCTGTAGCCTCCTCGGCCCGTGTTGGGACGGAAGTCGCCTTCTTCGCTAGGAGGAGGATAGTCATCGATAGGAGGACGAGGAGGTTCATCTTCATTCTCGCCTCCCTCAGCGTTTGATCCTCCTCTTAACCTCACAGTAGAGAGCATCCTATCCAGCAACTCTGTCGAGTGCAGCGCGGTTCCAAAGGAGCCCAAGACGCCCAGTTTCTCCCTGCTGCCGGGAACGGCAGCCTTTCTGAGACCCTTGGAACTTGAAGGCAAGCAATACCCGTCTGAGTAGAAGAAATTCGTGCTAGTGGAAGGAAAGACATGGCTGGTGACGGAGCAAAGAACCAGACAAACACAGAGGCCGCGCATGCGGCTCGAGGAGACTATCATGGTATCGATCCAGGATGGTCTCTAGCTCTGCATCTCCTCCGGAACAAGTCTCGACCTGCAGGGAAAGAGCAGGAAGCGAATCAGAAGGGCTGGAAGAGGAAATCTAACGGGGACTGGAAAGATGAAGAAAGATTCTCCCGATGCGCAAGATACGACCATACATGTAAACACCTTCCTCTCACTCCCTGCTCCCCCAAACAGCCCGGAAAATACTACATCTCATCTCTGCTCATAGTTGATCTTCGATTCTCATCATTTTGCTATCGTTCCCCTTCATTGTCGCTTCAAACTTACAAGCAGGGCCATGCTTCCCACACACAGAATCCTGCTCCTGCCTTGAAACGGATCTCAAGGTATCTCCCACTGCATGAGATGCTCCAACACTCAACTCAACTCCTCCACCTCCTTTACCGTCTTCCCCAACATGATCGCCCCCTACTCCCTCCTCCCTCCTCCCTCCTCCCTCACCCCTCCCTCCCCCTCTTCTTCCGCATAGTGCGATCCGCCGCGATTCTTTTACTCAACTCGGTACGTAACCCCACCCCAATTATTCCTTGTTTTACCACCCCTGCCATGAATACATTGTCGCCCCCGTGC